GGAGTGCTTGCAGTGACATAGTGCAATTTAATTTACATAAACAGCAATGTAGAAGTGCGCCTCGCAACTTCGCGTATAGTGTGCGTGCAGAAGTAGGTGAGTCTTCAAATTGAGAGCGCTTTGTACAAGATTAGTAGACATGGAAATAATCGATAGTTAGATTCTCTCAATGTTACCGATTTTGTCTTTCTTTAGCTACATTGAACTAGAGATTCCTAATGCATTAAACTGCTCATAAGTCATTGGGCAGTTTAGCAACTATTGTTATTTCTCTTGGTATATAAAACGGCCTAATCAATCAATGAGTGGATTAGTGCGGAGTATAAGTTTCGAAGATCAAATTATTCAAAAATTTGCTGATCGAATCAGAGAAATCAACACCATTGTTTTTTTTAATTAAATGTTTGTTTTTCATTGTTCTGGTGTCAATGACATGTGGCGGGCTCACCCCTTATCAGATACTACTATATAATTGTCGAATAGCACTATTATCGAAGCAACATGCATGTTTTTTGTACACACACTGTTGACACGACTGATCTAATAGTAAAGTATGAAAGAACCACAATGTGTTGCCACTTGAACGGTGTACGCTTATGCACTTACAGAGTGAGGAATCAGGTATTCTTCCACACTCATCTTTAGCAAGTATATAAACTTTCGTACCACTCATTGCGAGCGTCGATTGTCAAGATATGAGATAGAATGTCACGCAATGTTCAAAAGAATATATTACGGAAGTTACAACATCAATATGACCGACAGCGCGGCTGACTAAAGAAGGATGCACCCATACGTATACACCACTTTTTAAAACGTTCCTAAGGTTGCAGAAATGGATGGTATAGATAAAATTGTACGATACATTTTCTCGACCTGAATGGGAATTTGTTAAGTAATGGTACTGTTGTAACGGGGCACGCCTTGTGTCAATTCAGCACAAGATGGTGTGCACCCGACGTCACGTACACGTGGCGTGAGGTTAGCAGCGAAGTAGTCAGAACTAGAAAGCTCTGTCTAAGGGAAAAAGTAGAACAGTATTTAGCAAAGTTATGCTTCTTAACAAGCCATCTTTTGTCTTGAGCTAACCATATAAAACTACAATCTTCTATGTGGGTTTCTTGCTCACCACCCAATGCGCGCGTCCAGCAGCGATTAGTGGTTAGTCTGGTTGATGAACCGTGAGCATCAACCATCAGGTGGAGCAACCCATCAAAGAAATTTTACCCTTGGGGGTCATATTCCTTCAACCTTACTCCTTTCGGGTAATGTCAATTGAACATTATCTAAATAGATAATGCTCAAAATTGATACGAAAATATCAACTTTTATGTTATGGGCTCACTCCGTTACAACTATAGACTATATTGTTAAATAAACTTAGGGAATTGCTAAATTCACCCCCCTTTTCCTTACATTCACATCCTTCCTTCAAAATCTTATATATATGGTCGAGACCGAGACGGGTACTGACTCAATTGAGCTTGCCGAAGCCGCTGGAATTGGCGAGACGGCTGTCTTTGCCGATGCGTCTGACGTTGCTAGAGAGCCTGAAGCTGTGACGCTTACCGCGTAAACGGAAGCCGTTGCCGAGTCTATGACGGTTGTAGAGAAGGAGAAGACGGACGTTGGCGCTACATTGGAGGGCGCTGTCGAGGTACAGGAGGCTAACGTCGAGCAAGTGGATACCGATAACAAACCCGCATCTACTTCCATCACGGAGACGAAGAGCAGCTTTTCATTGAGTGGAGGGAAAAGGCTACATTTCCACACGAACGTACCGTCTCCAGCTAAATATAAACGCCGCTGACCATCACACGCAGGACCAAAGGTGTACATTTTTCTCACAATGAAGTTTCAGCCGCGTTCCGGTGAGGCAAAGACCACTACCACCACAGCGTGGATACGGAAGTAGGAACTGTAGTTCGTGTGTATGTATACAGTAGATCAATACCATCGTAAGCGATACGCTTTTTGATACGAGGTGAAGTACTATACGTTGTTGCCATCCCGAACTTTACTTCGATCTGCACGGTCAGCTTTGTGCACTTGTCTCTGTATGATCGGTCGACACTGGGTACTTTGTGAATTGGAACATAACCTCGTCAAGCGTAAGCGTCACGATACAAAGATTCATTCGAGGACAGTTGATCACAACTGCATTCCTCGCTGCCTCTCTATTGTCCGTGCTACCCGTATGTTCCTCGTGAGACGTTCATTTCGGCGGCACAAGTACAGCAAGTGACTGCGGCTATGTGGAGATAAGCGCGTATGAGCTGCTCGGTAAGGTGTGTCAGCGAGTGTTTTGCTGCATTCTTTGCTGCAACAAAGATAAGGCTTACGAGGTCTTCGGGCCGTCAAGTTGAGATTGCAAGGCGCTCCTTCATGCAGAACACCGCCTCCGGTCCGAGTCCTTATCTACATGGATAGACAAGTGTTGTAGCACGTGCAGAAAACTAATCTTGAGGTCGAGTCAGTATCTCGCAGTAAGTAGATGACGTCGAATATACATACACACGAACTGACACTGTCGCTTACTTGTTCACATGCTGCAAATTGACAACTAATTAGCTGGAATGCAGGTATCAGTTCCTTCTCGAGGTGGTCAGCATGCACTTGACCGGATCGTCACTCGCTGCATTCGTTTGTTGCGCTCGTATCCAAAACATCTGAGCTGAGATGTCGTCATACAAAGTCTCTCTCTCTCTTAATGACTACACCACGTAGCTGCCAACATACGCATTGCATGTGCTGCTATGTGTATTGTATGCACTACAAAGTAATTGATCTCTACGAGAGTCCCTACTATCTGCAGACAAAGCGATCGCATTCGATGGCCATTTCCGTCCATCTTCACCTGTGTGACCTGACTACGAACGGTTCAGTCGCTGCCGTGCTGTCGCAATCGAAGCAGTTGACGTTGCAGTGGGCTTTGTATTGTGTTAATAGAATGCAGTGGACGTCGCTCGGTCCGTTACAGCGCAACTCTTGTGCGACCACTTTGGCATTGAACCTGTCGCGCACATTTTGCGTGCTCCCACTTCGTTTGCTACGCACTGTCACAAGTGCTGCTGTGCGTTCTCGTTTCTTCTTCTGATTACGTTCCACAAATCGTTTCGTCTCGTGTCATCCAGAAATTGGATCACTGCGCGCATGGACAGAGGCCATCTAAACACGTGCAAAAAAACTCGCAAAGCTCAGATCGACTTCCAGACTAGCGCATTTATTACTTCAGACGGCACGGTGGCGTCGGATGATTGTCGTGTGCTTTATTTGCTCGTCTTGTTTGGCATTTTGCGCGCGCATGACCGATATTTGCGCCTCGAGCCACGCGCCCTATCTATCGTTGCCGAAACGTGTTTATCGATACTGACATTTTTTGTGAATAGATACAGGCGTGAGTAGTATCTTATGTATTTCTTACGTATTACTTGCCAAATAATGGCCTAGATTATTGAGTAATAACATTGTCAGAAATCAAATCTTAAAACAAATAGGGATTTTATATATAAGATTTTGAAGGAAGGGTGTGAATCTAAGGAAAAGGGGTGTGAATTTAGCAATTCCCTAAATTTATTGACCTAAATGACAAATTTAATATACACCAAGTAAAAGGGTCAGTTGTCGAATTATTCATCTTAAGCAGGTGGCTTCACTTGTAAGATCAATTATTGTACACTTCCATTTTCTACTTTGCATTAGTAAAGTGATAAAGTGGAATAGATACGAAATGTTTTTAATTGATTGCGTCGTGGAATAATAATGCATATATTGAATGAACGAAGTAGAATCATTGTTGCAACTGGAAAGCAAACCATGTGAGCCTCATCGTTACAGATATATTGTGGACGAAATGCCACATCTCTTTGCTGATGAAGGCATACGCTCGAGGAGCTACTTATTTCGTCGAATTAATGACGACGCAACGAGCCAACAAGTGAAAAGAACTATAACTTATCAGTCAACTAGTGATAAAAATTTAAATTCCACTAGATCACAGATCTTCTAGTCTTGGCTCAAGGGACTTAGCTAATCGGCAGCACAAGGTGCTTAAAGTATATGCTTCTGTCCAGCTTCAAACGTTTATGATCGAAGACACCTTAACAATGCACGTGTCTTTTATAGGCACGTGTCATCTATAGATCAAACCGCAAACTGAGGTTTATTAAGTTTTATCACGATGATTAATCCTGTCTAAGGACCTAAATGTAAGATTTTTACTATGTTAGGAGTAAAACCTGAAACGTACCTTTTTGGTGGCTGAAACGCCCAATTCCCCCCATCAAACGTAATTCGTACGACACCAATGTATAGCCCTTACATACTGCGCTCATGCATATACGTTACATACTGCGCACACACGGATATACGCAATTATCACTGATCGTTATCCTCGAGCGCTGGCCGACTAACGATCGCCAAATCAGGATTTTACCCAAGCTCCAATCGCTGAGCTAGTATCACCAAGTACGGATTGCTATATCAATCTTGCTGAGTTCAGGCGTCTAATATATATAAAGTCCGTATAGAAGAAAAGAGAGAAGGACAGATAGCCACACAAGTGGCTTTACTTGAGGACGAGGTGCGTATTGCCTATACAAGTAACATGTGGGTTATTTCTGAACATACACCGGCTAGGTCCTAAACTTGATGCCACATGTTTCGACACCTGTCAACGAGAGTTACAAGAATATGGCTTTACAGATGACTGAAAGTCATAATGGATAAACGATAGCTGGACAAAGGTGATTGATCAATACTAGCAAAAATGTTTGTACAATGTCAAGATCAATCTCACCAGATACTCACGAATGTTCGTACATACAAGACAGGTTGCGATGCGATCGTCTCCACTTTATTTTCTGCATGAATTGCCTCTCCGAAGCACATTTCAGATCGATAATCTTCGGACCTATTCATTTGAAGTGACACCACCTAAACTTTATTCGTCCTCCATTTCGATCTTTATCCTCACCTACTTTCCTCATCTTTCAATCCATTTAGATGGTCTCTTTGATCTTCTTCGCTTTGATTATCTCCTTCTCCGTGATGAGTTGTGACTCGAGGGTTCTACCTAAATCCCGCTTCCTGGGCTCCGGACTCTTTTTGATCTTTTCGATACCTTCTTCCACTTCTTTGATGCCGAAGCGGCGCATCAAAATCAAGACCGGGCGAATAAAGAATTGTTTTGAGGTGGTTTGGAGCCCGTTACAGTACCGGACAGCAGCCACGAATTCGTCGTACTCCTTACTGCCAATGAAAACGTCAAGACCTCGTTCTCCATTCGCCAGTTTCGCTATCTGCCTTTCGAGGTTCTTGTCCAAGCCCTGAAGCATCACCTTAATGGTAGGGTCAGCTTCGTGCTCAAAGTTTGCAACGTTAGCGATAGCAAGCTTAGTGACTTTGATAGCGTCCGCCTTAGCCTTCCTAGCAGCCTTGGCAGCCATACGCGCCGAATATAGGTCTACAATGATGCGCTTTAGTGAAGGCAAAAGTCCATCGAAACCTCTGTCTTCGTCATTCGCGGCTTTCACGGTGACAGATCGGATGAGTCTGCTATCGAAGACATTCACTTCGTTGCTCTCGGGCGCACGGGCTTGCAGCAGTTCCAAGTGTGACACCAAGAGGATGGCTGCAGGAAGTAGCACCGTCTTGAGAAGACGCATTGTACAGCAAACGGACCTGGGCACTTGCTCTTTGAGGGAGAATGCGGAAATGACACGAAGTGGAAGCTTAAAAAAGACAATGTGACCGCCGCCCAGCTTGCAGTTCGGACCCTACACTCGACCTGTGGTTTCAGTTTCTGGCGCAGATTCCGAGCAGAAACATGCGATTTGCGTGCGTGTGCTGTTTTTTGCAACTTTAAGTGCGGTCAGGGACTAATCCTCCGTTTCTGGACAGGCGCCTTTTCGGTTGGGATGGGTTTCCATTCATCCCGAGCACAAGAAAGAGACCAAAGAATAGCGGACTCGATTTTTTGTAGGGTGACCGCCTTTTTCTACGTTGATGACTGATAAGCATCTGTATTACAAGAAAAAAATGAAGAAGATACTGACGGCGCACCAATACTATGAGCGAATGTTGTAATCGTGTCAAATGCCAAAGCTTGTGATCGATGGATTGTGAGGATATTTTTGGTCGCCTTCATCAGAAAGCGAGCAACCGAATGCAATGACCGCTCGCTGCAGCAGCGTAGGAAGCAATATACGATAAAAGCTTATATTATTGTCAAGCACCTCGGTATTTCACATGCCACAAGTCGGCCAAATAGCATAGCTTGTGCGTACCTCCTTTTCGATTAAAGTGCATACCGCGATCACAGCATCTAACGGTATTGACTCCAAGAACACAAAGTTATAGCGCTTGTGATGGCCCTGCCGTTTTTATTCTAAAAACGAACCACCTGCCGCACGCCTCAGAGATCGTGGCGGCTTACGAGAATTTGCCGGGATGTCATCGTCCAGCCGGCTAAAAGGCTGGTGGAATTTTGCAATGAGGTGGCGTCGACAGGACTGCTGATTGACGTTATTTGGGCGGTAGAATACGAAGTGAAGGGCGATTGGAGATGGCTACTCCCGGTGTGGCTCAACGAGTGAAGATTCTAAATATCGTCATGCCGTCATCATGTCTACCAAACTTCTCTTCATAGCGGCTGTATTTGCCATCCCGAAATGGGCGACCGAGGAGATTGGGTATCTTCACAAACTTTGCGTGGAAACATGCAACATTAATGGACCGTAGCAGGGCACAGAATCAGCCCAGGCATTTTGTACACACCGAGAGCGGCGGGTGGGGTCGGTTTGGTGGCTGTGCCACTGGCGGTAAAAACGCAGTGAATAAAATATTTTACCAGCCTGACACAGCGGGTGAACCGATACGTAGCGGCTTGAAGACATTGGACATTTTGGGAAACAAGCGACACTGACTCTCTTTTTCTCACGCCACTGGACCCGAGCGCGTGTCGCCGTCACCAGAGCACAAAACCTTGGGTGTTGCGAATTCGGGTCGTTTATGAGCAGAAGCAATTATCACTCCAAGGACAATGTCAAAGATGTTACATCTTGTGGACTTCGACAATTATGAGCGTTATCGGCCGGGGGTCACAGAACATTACATGCGAAGGTGCAAGGCATACGTCTATTGAAATGCATCGAGCTATTCGACATGGCACATTCAAGAGCATCAGGACACTGTGGTGAGCCACGTAGAGCCACCGCATCGTTCGACACCGGCATATATGACCTGGCTTAGGATATTTACATGTTAAGGTATTGCATGCATTTATAGTGTGAAATAGATCGTCTGCGTTAACCTCTCTCACAACGAGCACAAAGGGGGAGCGTGAGCCGTCACCGGTCCAACAGCTTTGGCTGTGCAACAGACGTTGCGATATGAGCTTGTGCAGTAGTCCCATCCTACATTATACAGGTAACCGGTCATTTTTTCTTTTGTTTTTTTCAAGCTAGTTTTTTTCCTCGTATTTTCGCAAGATGGCGAACAAAGGCATGTATGCGTAAGCATTACGCTCAGACAAATACGGACGCGCACACGGCTGCATAAATTGCTAACTTGTTGCCTACTTTTCGTGGTGCAGGATCGCTTGTATATGGCCGCAACAGTGTTGGTCCTCCTCATCGCCCTTTCCACCCCAAACATTTACGTTTCGAATGAGTAAAGCTAGCACATTACATTAGTAGCAATTGTACATCTGATCTCTAGACAAGACAGAATATGCTGTCACTCCGACAAACGACAAAAGCGTTGCTATCTATCGAGGCTGAACGGCAGGTATCTTTGGGAGCGGTGAAGCTGCCATCATCAAATCACGTGACATCTTACCAAAAAACTATGGTCGTGATTTTTCTACAACGGGCAAGCCAGACGCGATCAGATTTCAGATTATGTGTCAAGGTCTATGTGCCATTGTCACAGCTAAGCGTCACTTTCCCGATCATGTAAACGGAGAGCCGAGTCAAAACTGCTAGACAGCGTGTATGACCTGTCGAGCGAAGCTATGGACGCGTTTTGGCGATTTGCTAGCAGCCAACCGCTTCTGCATTTGTCATAGCTTTGACAAAGTATGTCATGGTCACGCTTGTATGTGGCAACAGGATGCTAGAGAACTTCAGCGCTATCGTGTCTTCCCCACACACTTCCCATTGCTCATGCTGATGCTGCGATAACAGCGATGCGTTGTGAGTACTTCGTCGATATCTACATCAAAAATGCAAACATGTGGGCTGTAGCGGCATCAGAAAAACCCACTGCCGGTCGCGGTCGTGGTCTTTTATCTCGCATACTTGCCGCTGTCGAGGCTCTATGATGGCCACATACTCGCGTCAGCACGTCGTCCGCAATAAGAGCTGCTAGCCACGCAGAAACGCACGACGCGACTGCTGTCGAGCACCTCACTTGGCAACGTGGCAAACACTTTGACGTCGTCCTAGTATTTCTGAGCTGCTGCTGATTCTGAAGGACTCCGAATCGCCAAACTCTTTTTTGCAGCGAGTTCTCACGCCGCAGCAGGCCCAACCGCATCTTCAGCGACAAAAAGCCGCGTTGCTGCATCTCAAGATTGGACACAATACCCCGATGCTCCAGCCTAGTATCCCACTTGTTGCTCACTGCCCACAGCTCATGACACCGTTCGGACAAGAAGACTGCAGCTTTCGACAGTTCGCCCACGGTGGCGCAACACTCCTGTGCCATTTGCCATGGACCGCGCACAGCAAGCATCGTACAAAACATTTGCGTCAACTCCCAGGTTCCGAATTGCGACGTCCGCATTGCATAAACATGTCATGAGCAGCTTGTGAAGAGACAGTGGAATAACAAGCTCCTGCTAAATTGCTGGCCCTTGAATCCCTTGTGCCATGCGGCCTTTTTGCCCGCGCGCAACAAACGCAACGTACTCCACAACTACGCAGCGCAGAAAAAAGCATACATTAACCAATAATACAGCAGAGTGACAAGGCGGAGCAGCTGCGTCTATCGAGTACGACAGCCGCGCAGCTGCTTGTCCGACATCTGTGGGAAACGTGGCCGCATTGTGACTTCAAAAACCTAGTGACCAAGAAAGCATTCGTGACTTCAAAAACGTGGTGAACAGGAAAGCGAGAACACACGCACGCACGTCGTCGTTCGCGAGCAAAACACACGGGACCTCGTGACCTTCGTCTTCGCCGAAACGACACACTGCAGTGCGAGAAGTGACGGACACCAAGGCCGTCGATCCATTTTTCGTCGTGGCATCCAGAGCATACGTGCCCACTGACTACAACCCGTCCTCCCTGTCCATCCACACGACCACAACGTCGTGACTATCCACAAGACCACTGCACAGATCTTGATGCCTTCAACCGCGTCGTACCAGTCTGGCGACATGCCAAAGTAATCTTCCATATCATCTTCGCCGTCGTCCTCCATCGCAACCGATTCTTCCATCATCTCGTCGTCCGTAGCCGTGTCATAGGTCGATCTGGTGTCAAAACGTCACCATCAGTCCACGACTCGACCGTGTTCTTCTCGACCACAGTGCAAACACGTCTCGTAAACGTGATCGACTCACCCTTTACAGATGCACGTAAAGTACAGCACCTTCTTTTGCACCTTGTTGTAGAAAAAGTAGTTGAACGACCACCTGAGTACCAACCCCACATAAAAAGACACAACAACGCACTTGGTGAGTCTCCACGTGCTATCCAACACGGCGTTGCAAACTCAGTCGCCACCCCAGCAGAATACAGAGCCATCCGTACAAGTGGCCGTCCGAGAACGGGTCCGAGTCCATGTCAGGGATGTAGCTGTACACGTCGCAGTCGTCGAGCTTGATCACTTCGGCCACGCTCTCCCACATCTTCTCCACAAACCCATCGCCTTCTGCGTCCAACAGCTCGGCCAAGTCGTGATTGATGCGCTGGAGGGCACTGCGGAAGTCGATTACCTTGCAGAACTGATCCGGACGCACACCACTGAAGTCGTAATCGGGAAAACTCGCGTTCATAGTCGAAATGAGAGTTATAAGCAGTTTGCGAGTGGCGGCAGCTGCAAGTGGACCCAACGACGACGACGACGACAAAGGCAGCGGTCGTGCCTCGCTGCACGAGAGCTCCATCTCTTGCTGGTACGAGCGCTCCAGCTGCTTGGCCAATCGCTTGTCGCTGCCCGCCTTCTTGCACGAGTACGTCTCGAGTTTGCCCGTGAGCACGCGGTCGCCCACGCTGTAGCTGCCGAGCACCGCATTGAGCCACGACAGCTGCGGTTCTTCCAGGTATTTCATGACGAACAAAGACAATGTCGTTCGAATGTCGCTCAAACCAACTCGATCCGGCTACTTCCACGCAGTGGACGTCCGTTTGTCTTGGAACAACATCACGCCGACCTTTTTGCCCGTGCGTTGCAATACCGTTCCAAACCGGTATCAACAAAACACGAGACGTCGCTCGCA